ATTATTGCATTATATTGGATTTTTGCGATTATAATGATAAACATAGATCTCTGGCGCTAATTTTAATTGATCGGCCTTATCTTTTTCACATTCTTTAAGTGTTTATTAGACACACAGCACTGATTATTTTTAAACCTTGATGTAAATAGTAGTTGCACAAAAAAGACTAAAAATGGGAAGATATAAAGGAAACGCTGCTGCACTCTGCATATATATGCAGGATAATCAAGTTGCCGCAATTTATTTTCATATATGAGAAGGCCCTTTGTCGGTTACTTTTTGCATCGTTGCCAGCGTCTCCGGTGCTTGTCTTCGGCTTCCTAAATTGCCTTGATTATTTGTTGCTAACCAAAATTAATTGTTCAATAAATCTTGTTTTGTGAGTGTGTACAGGAACACTTAAAGAACGGCGGAAAATAATAAGATTTATGTATCTTTAAAGTATTGATCTATATTTTAAATTAAATTTATCGGTCTAAGTACGTTACGGGTTAATTTATGGTATGCTATTGCTGGACTGTATATTTAAAATTGGGGTAAATAATTTATTAATTTTACTATTAGTATTAAGTAAAACAGTCTTACTTTTATTTTATTGATAAACCAAAAGATAGCTTGTTTCAAGACAATAAAAATTATTATTATTATAATTTATGATCGATGATAAATTGGCAAAATTGTTATAATCATGAAAATTTAAAAAATCATATCTCTGAAAACAATTCATAAACCGTGCTAAAATTAAAATTGAATTTATAAACTCAAAATATATATATTTTGAGTCAGGGAACCCATGGAAAAATTGCCGAGGAATTTCGAAATGGCAAGGGCTTTTTTCGTGTCGAATTCACGTTAAAATCCCCATATACAGTGTGTTATGTAAATAATGTTATATATTAAAATACTAAATACCTTTTGACATAAGGAATAAAGGAAAGATATTTAAAAAAATATTTTTCCAAAGATAAAGAAAAAATATGCATTAGAAGTTTTTTTATATTTTTTGTGATACGCCACTGGTTACACACTTGGTTTATCTCTGCATACTTGTATTCTGTGAGTACATAGATACCAACCAACAAAGTAGCCACGCGTTGCCAGATGTAAACAATTGTTACTAAACATTTTTTTTGCAAAAAATAAATAAAAACTCAATAAATACAAAAGTTTTATGCTCTTAAAGCTCTAATACCCGTCTGTATTTATTTACTCATCCAGCTATTAGCTTTAGCAATGATTAGAAAATTTAGTACCTATTTTAAAAAATCCATAACCACAAAATTAATTTTTCATCAGTTTTTTTCTTTCTTTTTACTCAGATGAAATTGGGACCAGTTCACAGGTTAAACTTTAAACATTTAATTTGTGTAAATAAATCCCTTAGTTAAGATATTTACAATTTGAAAACATAACCTAAAATTTGAAAAAAATGCACTAGATTGTCATAAAAGTTGGCAGGTTTTGTTAGAATTTACCTTCAGTACAAAAATGACATAACCAACAATTAATAAAAAAGGCCAAATTGACAATTTGCATTGTTAATTTTGTCATTTTTGTAATTAAGCTAAATTTAAACAATGTTTGTCAACTTTTTTGAGAGATTTTGGAAACACTGTTGTTACCAACCATAACATAATAAATCCACCAGATTAGCCTAAAGTTCCTAGTCGATCAGTGGCGTACTTTTTGGTAGGATAAAGGTTATTATAAATTATTTTTAGACTTTGGAATTTAGAGAAAAAAAGTTTCAGGTCCTTCTTTATGGACCCTAAGGAACAACCCATTTTAATATATAACATTAATTACATAACACCCTGTATAAAACGTATAAAATGTATAAAACGGTAAAACAGATATATCTAAGCTTACATAAAAGTATAATAATTAAATTATTTAAATTTATTTTAAATATATCACAGGGACATTTTTATTTTTTTGGGCACCTACAGTACTTATCACAGATTGGAACTCTTCAGTTGTGTACAAAATATTCTTCTTTGCCAAGAATTTTTTTTGAGGGAGACTTTTTATTTTACTTGAAAGTTTATTAAAAAGTTTTACACCATAGTATTCAATTTAGTTTTGCGTTTTCTTAAGCCTGTGGTGAGAGATGTGGAGTTCATTTCCACTTTTTGTGTTGCAAGTATGTATGTCAAAATTTTTAGTACATACATATTTTAATGCTGTATACAAATATGCTCGTTATTGTGATAATATTTTCCGCTTTGGAAGAACTCTCTGCACCTGTCTTTATAGCCAAGGTTTCAAAATATTCTTTTAGACTTTTTTTGTTCCTGAAAACACGAATAGTTTTTGGTGAAGTTCCCCACAATAAAATTTCATTCGATACAATGGAATGGAAGTTGGCGAAGTACGTCATTCTTGCAATTTCTTGATTTGCTATGGTTTTCATTCTTATTATGGTGTAAGTTGCTGTTGACAGTTTTTTCAAAATTTCTTGTATGTGTTTAGACCATGAGAGATTGGTATTGATGTGTAGACCTAGGAATTTTAATTAACAAATGGACGGTGCTGCTCATGGTCTGTTGGCTTTAATTCTTGGGTTAACTGTACCTTATTAGCGTGCAAATGCAGGTCTTTTGTTAAAATTAGATGCAAACTGTTTCTTCTAATGTATATTTCCTGTGAACAATGTCGAATTGAAGTCCCTGGATTTTCATTTACATCTACGTACTACAATGGCGTTTTTACATCGTTAATCGAACCAGTTGCTTCAAATTTATTAATTAAATTCTCAACTGCGGCTTGGTCGATTATGTCGTCCAAAGTTTCGAAAATTGCAAATTATTTGTGTAAAATTATCGTCACTTTTGTAATAAGTTTTCACAATTAATATGCGTTGTTCAACTGTGGAGCGTTCCATTAATAAAATGGTAATGCTTGTATTTAATGAATATCCTATACACACCGCTATTAGTTTAACAGAACAAATATAGCGCTAAATTTAAAATTACACCTCTTAAATAAAATATTAATATATTGTGATACCATATACAAAGAGAAAAAGCTTTTATATTGTGAATGGGTTAACCATTGAGCCAATGGTGTACTGTATTTGCAATACCTGAATTACAGCTATGATCAAAATGATGATTGTCTTACTTTTATTTGTGCAAACCTGCTTAAAATTAGTTCAAACATAAGAAATCATTGAATTAAATTGTGATTCTATTAAATCCGTATTAAAACTTAGTTAGTTAAAACATAATAAATTATTGAATTAAATTTTTATTTAATTGAAGCCACAATGAATCTTAATAAAAAACTATCATTGGCATAAATAAAGTTATGGTTTCTAATGAATGGCTACATTAAATGCAATCAAAGCTCTAATTCCTTTAAATATGTATTCTTGTGCAAATATTAGTTGTATAATACATTAATATAAACTTTATATAAAATGAATTCTGGAAACTGCTTATGGTAGTCTTGTATACACAGGTTTTTCGATCCATAAAATGAAATTGCTCTGTTTTTTGTAGAAACTATTAGGAACCCACCAGAAGTGTGGGTGATATTAGGCTCTAACCCATCACTGACCCATCACTAGCAACAGTTTATATACAAAAGTATATATACAAACTGAACTAGATGTGCAGGATCTGTCTGCCATGGCACATGGTTATTCTAAAACGAAATTTTAACTTCTAATTATGTATTTAGAGGAGAATCCTTAAGATTGCTGAAAGTCCTAAAGCTATATATACTTTCAGGACGCCCTGTAAGGATATTATGATGGTACTGAAACACTATGATAAGTTTTTTTTATAAATAAATAAAAACTTCGTCCATTTTTACCTCTTTGTTATCATTAAGATATAATTGAGTAATTAAATTACATGGCGGACATACAATAAAAAAACATGTACAACTGAAAAATTGAAAATTCGGGAGTAGGATTAGTACAACCCCCAAGAAATTAGCAAATATAACAAACAACCAAACACTACCTTCACCAGAGATAACCCATAAACTTACATCAAACGGCGTCACCAGAAATACCAATTAATCAGTTGAACACATTTAACTATACTGCCGTACTAAGCGCAGAAGCGGTAATTAACATAATGGCTGTCATGAGATATTGGTACTTTTATGTTAATAGCTCTGCCAACTCAGATTGGTAACAGATACCGCTAAAAATAACTTGATATTTCAATAATTTACTGACAAAATACCGATTTAATACCTCATTAAAGTAGAGATTTTTAACCCTAGTTTCATATTACGGGAAAATGTCAATTTCCTTTAAATGTGCAGTTACCGCTTCTGCGCTTAGTACGGCAGTATACGCACGTACGCGATTGCAGGTTGCCGATGTGTGGTGTGGCAGGGGATGCCCTGGCGCGTTTGTCTGAATTTTAGCAATCATTAAATTGAATATAGGCCGCATTGAAAAAATGGGAATGATAATTGGGCAAATATCAAGTATTTTTCAAGACAGTGAAAACATTGGTATTCACTGTAAGACAGTAATAACTTACTTTACCTTAGGTTCCATTGGAATAAAAATCATGAAACAAAGACTATTCTTATTTCATTTGTTTTTAATTTTTGGTTAAAGCATTATAACTTTTAATATAAATCAATTTTATATTTAATTAAATATTGTTAATTTTACCTTGATCAGATAAACTTTGAATACAATCATTTCTAACATTTTTAAGGAAGTACACATTTCCATTAGGTTTAAATCTAAAGAGTCATTCACTCTATAACAAGTTATTTTAACTTAATAATATTTTGTTATGGGCTAAATATAATATTTGTAATAACATCAATCCCTTACCCTCAATTGCTCCAAACATATATGATTGAATAAACTTTAACTTTTATTGGAGAAATGAAAAAACAATCAATTATAGTTGTTATTATTAGCATTGTTAATGACTTCATCAAAGCGTTTTTTTCTGTGTAGTTATTCAAATAAAAAAGATACCAATACATTCCCTGTATATATTTAAAGAACGCAGTGACTGCTACCCCGTGCGCACGGAACCATAGTTGGCTGACTCGCGCTCCTTGCGCACGGAACAATAGGTATGAGACTCGCGCCCCTTGCGCGTGGAACAATAGATATGGGACTCCTGCACCGTACATATGGGGTCAGGACATAGATGCGATGCGCTAGAGAGTTTTTAATAATTTAATAATGGTATTTTCACAAAAAAGCATTAATATTAAAATGTAATTTATTAAAAAATAATTGGAAAATACATTTTAATTTCTTAAAAATTAAATTTATTTTAATGTCTTTGGCGGGATGTCTTGGATGTCTTATTTGAGTTCCTTTTTCTTTTAGACCCAATTATCGTCAACTCTGACCCCTTGGGTCTGCCGCATTTAACCATTTTTGGTGGTAATGTTATTTCACTTAGGACTAAAATAAAAAAACCGTTTAAAAAAAATTATAAGTAATAGTTCGTTTATACCATATCTGTTTCCAGTTATTCCCTTTTTGTCATTATTGTTAGTCATGTTGATGTTTATTTTTAGTGGTATTTCTTTTTCTTGTGATAGTTCTATGTCGTCTGATAATATTTCCTCTTCTGGTATTTTTTTTTCATTTGATACATCAATATCACCTGCTAATATTTCTGCTTCTTTTATTTCTCTTTTTTCTGATAGTTCTATGGCTTTTGATAACATTTCTCCTTCTGATATTTCTCTTTCTTCTGATAGTTCTATGTCTTCTAATAATAATTTTCCTTCTGATAGTTCTATGTCTTCTAATAATATTTCTCCTTCCATTTCTTCTGGTATTTGGGATGCATAGTCTTGTGATAGTTTTTTATCTTCTGGTAATATTTCTCCTTCTGGTATTTCTCTTTCTTTTGTTAGTTCTATGTCGTCTGATAATATTTCCTCTTCTGGTATTTTTTTTCATTTGATACATCAATATCACCTGCTAATATTTCTGCTTCTTTTATTTCTCTTTTTTCTGATAGTTCTATGGCTTTTGATAACATTTCTCCTTCTGTTATTTCTCTTTCTTCTGATAGTTCTATGTCTTCTAATAATAATTTTCCTTCTGATATTTCTCTTTCTTCTGATAGTTCTATGTCTTCTAATAATATTTCTCCTTCCATTTCTTCTGGTATTTGGGATGCATAGTTGTAATTATTATTGCTATTAATATTCTCATCAATCACTTCAACAATTAAAACTTTTTTCTTGTTTTGATAAAAGGATTTTAACAACTTCATTTGCTCCATAATTTCTCGGTATGTCTTATTCCCATATTGAGATATAGTGACTGCTAAGGAATTGCATAATTTGGACGCCTCTCTAAATTTTTGATGCTGATTTAAAACTGGTTTGTTTATGACATGTTCAGTAAGCACTTCGTTGTGTGAATCATAAATCGGTACAACTTTCATAGTTGCTCGATGATTTTCAACATAAAACTTTACAAGCCATCTTTCATTTATCAATGATTCATCAAATAAGTTAACATTAGAACATTTTCTAACAGATAAAATATGACGACAAGGTAACTTCATTTGATTCCGAAACCGACAGGAACAGTTGTCAATCGTTACATTTATTAGACCTTCACTTTTTGAGTTGTAGCTAAAATTCTTATCATTTTCAATTTTTATTTTCACACATATTTTAGCAATACATTCAAATTGATTTTCAAGGTGAGACCATGCAAATGGTGTTATTAATCTCATATAACGGTATTCGGTGGAATTAATGGGATAGCATGTAACAGGAATTTTATGTAGCAAAAGTTGGGCTTTATGATCTCTGTCTATTCTCAAGGACTGTAATACTGTTTTAAAATCTGTGTAAAATTGACAGAGTGAACTATGCCTGTCAACACCAGATTTAATTTTTTGATTAATACATTCTAAACGATTTGTGGTACTATTATTAAGAGTAAAACATGAACTTTTAAAACCTTCTACCCATTCATGCTTTATAATATGCCAGTTTTTATCATAATACTTCAACACTTTCTCAACATTCAGTTTTTGTAATTTTTCGTAATTGTTATTATATTCTTTAAGAGTGGGTGAGTAAGCTAACTGTTGGATTATTTGAAGACATTTTTCTCTAGTTTCTTTATTTATAGTCATCTTTTCAACAGTAATTTCCCTTCTAAATGTTCGAAGAGTATGAAAAAGACAAAGTAAAAGATCTGCTTGTGGAAATTCACTCCTAAAAATATCTCTCTCGGTCATGTCTTTATCTGTTAATATTGTCACTGTATCAACCCATGCCTTATTGTTGTCTTTGAATGTTTTAATCATTATCTCAATCGCGGGTTTACTTTCATCCGCCATCAAAAAAGTAGATACAATTTCACTTTGACCATTACCATCTACTGCGAGAAGTATATATAAAGCCATGTTAAGCTCGTTTAATTTATAAGTGGCATCACAAATTAACAATTCTGGAAATATGCTAAAGACCTGTTTCATGAAAAAATCTTGGTAATAAATTCCAATTAAATTACCGTCTTGATCGTGCGCGATTTCTACAATAGATCCTTCATTTTTAGATAATATTGACACAATATTCTCCAAATTATTGGATTTTAAAGGCAGTTTTGCAACGTATTTGATATTTCGTATGTCTTTGGTCAGAACAATTTTTCCAGTCTTTTGCATTATATAGTTTTGAACATCTTTTGGATTTGCTCGTAATTTTAATAGCTGTTGAACTTCCTTCTGATCTTCAATTTCTAGCTTCCTTTTTTTGGCAAAGTGCTTGTATGTATCCTGTTAATAAAAAAAATATTCAATTTAGGTTGGGTCATAAAATGTTAGTTTATTACCTACCTTATTTCTATCATGATTATGTTGATCATGTAGTAATTTGCAACGTAAGTGCTTACCGTCTTCTGTAAGGACTAATTTTATCTTCATGGGACATCCTTCATACATTGTACTAAAAGGAATTAAAAAAATATTATATTATGTTAGATTTGGAAAGACATGGATGAACACGTCCCAACACTACGTTGGGGACATGAGGTACCGTAGATTGGGGTTACTTGGAACACTTTTAATAAAAAAAGTTACATAAATAAACAACAAAAAGCATTTTTTTCGATATTTAAATGACAAAGTGTGTACGAGTACCTTTTAAATTGATACATATATATACCGCAAATTTAAAATTCACGAAAGCTATCGAATTAAAAAAAAAGTTAGTGTTCCAAGTTTTGCTTCGTTCTGATAACTTGGAACAGATGTAAATTTTTATTATGTTTCTATGTTTTACTGCAGAAGGGCAACTAGGAACGCTTTTAAATTAAAAATAAATGTATAGGGCATTTTGGAACGCATTTAAATTAAAAATAACAGCAGAAGAAGAGCATCTTAGAAGCCTTTTAAATTAAAAATAAAATAAAACCCTGCTTCTTGTACGAAAACAAAATAAAATTTAACAGTCTTAGTCAAAAAATGTTTATTGTATTAAAGAAAATGTCACAAAATTAACATGTTCCAAGATACCCCACAGTTCCAAATAACCCCACTCTACGGTAGGTATCTATGTAAAATGAGATATAATATAATATATATTATATCCAATTGATTTTATTATAAATAAGGTAGCAATAGGTACTTACGAAGATTTTCTAATCGCTTTTCCACGACTCTTGAAACGCTTTCCGCCTTTTGAACATGCATACTCAATAAAATAATACTTAAGATCTTGATTGCCTTTTGAAGCTCTAGGATACTTTGTTACCGCTTTAGATAATAAACAGGAATCCCTTTTTTGTAGAGTAATAAATTTGCTTGTTTCATATTCTTTAATTTTTTCTTCCAATTCTTTAAACGTTGCAAACAACGCACCTACCTTCATTTTCACTTTCACTTTTATCATAAACTTATAACCTAACCTATATGAAAGTATCAAGCCGCGCACGGAGCGCGAGCCACATATCTATTGTTCCGTGCGCACGGAGCGCGAGTCAGCCAACTATGGTTCCGTGCGCACGGAGTAGCAGTCACTGCGTTTAAAGAATATATCGTTTACCAAAAATCAATCACAAAGAGAACGTATATTTTTCGACAAAATTTTAAGAAAAGTTTCTTTGGGACAAAATAAAAAACTTGATTTAAGTTAAGTATAACCACTATTAGCGACATGCAAATAAATGCTTTATAGGTTTTTATTCGACTATTTCCCTCGTCTTAATTTCCACCAATCACAAACGCGCAATTTTGAATTACAAATGGTTTCTAGGTGACTATTTCCCTCGTCTTAATATCCACCAATCACAAACGCGCAATTTTGAATTACAAATGGTTTCTAGGTGAAAAAACTGTGTGACAGCACCTGTCAGCAGTTTATTCGAGTTTACCCGCGGCAAAACTTGACAGCTGTTGTCACCAAAAATTGCAATTTATATTTTAATTGTTAACTGTTACTCATGAAATAGTCTTGTCAAATACCAATTCGGGCATCTAATTTTTCCTGTGAAAAAAATCGAAAAAACACAATGCTAAGTAATATTTTTTTAACAAAAAGCATTCGTGCAGGTGCAAAAATCCTCCTCTTCGACTCGGATTTTTGTTGCCACCAGCACTCATGCTTATTGTTAAAATATTACTTAGCAACGTGTTTTTTCGATTCTTTTCGGAAAAATTAAATGCCCTTATGATATTACTTACGAAAAAACTGTATGACAGTACCTGTCAGTAGTTTATTCGAGTTTACCCGCGGCAAAACTTGACAGCTGTTGTCACCAAAAATTGCAATTTATATTTTAATTGTTAGCTGTTACTCATGAAATAGTCTTGTCAAATACCATTCGGGCATCTAATTTTTCCTGTGAAAAAAATCGAAAAAACACAATGCTAAGTAATATCTTTTAACAAAATGCATTCGTGCAGGTGCAAAAATCCTCCTCTTCGACTCGGATTTTTGTTGCCACCAGCACTCATGCTTCTTGTTAAAATATTACTTAGCAACGTGTTTTTTCGATTTTTTTCGGAAAAATTAAATGCCCTTATGATATTACTTACGAAAATAGTTCGTCGGACGAAAAAAAAGGTGAAAGGCCATTTTATGAAGGATAATTAGAAAATATGTAATTTTAAAATATTAAAGTGCATAATTGTTGAGAAAAAAAATTAATATGTATGGCTAAATAATACTCAATAAATTTTAAAAATTATACAAAGACGTTTTTAAGATATTAAGAAAAATGATTTTTTTACATTTTCAACTACCTATGTGTATCTTGAAAACAAAGCGGTTGCGGGCCAAACTAAAAAACACCTTGTGTATATTTGCTTTTATATTTCTTTAATAAGAAATAACCCGAATTGAAACAAGCAGTATATTACTTATGTTTTGTTTTGGTTCGTAAACTATCAACTCGAAAAACTTTCACAATGAACCGTTTTGAATGCTTTCGTTTTAAAATTCATACGGAGCAGCGCGTATAAAACATAAGTGAATATAAATTTTAGTCCGCATTCATTTATTTTCAGTGCAGCGCTCAGAAGAATGACATGTTACCGTTAAAATTAATTTTAAAGCGCAAAAATATGCACCCTTTTATTTTATTGCGTGTGTTGTACAAATGTAGCCATCATTTACTTATCTGTTCTCTCTCTTTGTGCAAACCGGATTGTTCATATCGTTGTTAAATTTTTTAATCGGTTTCATCAGTTTAATTAATTTTATTTCCACATTATTTTAAATTATTGCAGATATCTTCACTTATAATGTAAGTTATACACAAAACCAAATTTATATGGAATCAACCGTTATTAGGCGAATATGTCTTTTTAAATAAAAAACAGTAATTTAAATATAAAAAGTAGGTGTTTTATTACAAAAATATAAAGCCAAATTTAGTGTTAAACAAATAACAAAACTTTTTTTTTGTTTTGGGGAACATTTCTCCGCGAAGAACGAACAACTCGAACAGTGTAAAACGAAGAACTAAGAAGAAGTGGAAGATCCTTTTATGTGTGTGTGATTCGATAGATGAAGATAAAATTTATGAGCCTGGACCAGACGATTTTTCAGGTAGTGATGAAAGTGTTTTTTCGCCAACCAACAGTACCACCACAGCAACAATCGATTTTAAGCCATCAACTTCACGTACTTCAACAACAATCTACTTCAAAGACAACTCAACATAAGGAAAAAACTCTTAATAAGGTTATTGGCAAAAATAGTTTTAAATATATCTAGAAAATAAGCCCCAAATATATGTACAAAATAAGCCCAAGATTTCAATAAAATATATATATTCTTAAAAAAAAAATAATGAAATGAAATAAATGAAGTGTTTTAATATTTTTTAAAAAGTTAAATTTAATCAAGTCTTGAAAATAATCAAGAGTTTTGGCTTAAAGTCTTGTCTTGATTATAATCAAGATTTTTGGCTAACTTAAATATTTGAATTATAAAACAGCAACACTCTCATCTGCATATAAATTCTAACTGACCTTCACATGCATCTATAATGTCATAATGTCGTAATGTCGTTATTTAAAATGATTAAAGCGCAATCCGTTGCATAAAATTTACAGCAAAAACAGATTTACGGATGATAGAATCAATTTTTGTAACACCTACATAAATGGTTATAAAAATTATTTCTTTTTATTTTTAATAATATTTTATATTTGATTCGATTGCTTTGGATGTGTTTAATTTACTTAGTGAACTGATATTTTTAGTATGCTTTTACTACCTCAGATATTTGAAAACATATAGGTGACCTAGAAAGAGTTACAGTCACGAAGGATAGGTTTTAGACTTTTAAAACATTGTAAAAAATAATTAATTGCGGTTAAAAATCTGGAACCTGAGCTGTAATATCTACTTAATTATGAAAGATCAAAACACAATAAAAGTGTAGGTCAAACTCATTTAGTTTTATCACGGGGTAACACCATCGTGAGATTCACCCATAACACGAGAGATTTTATATTAGTTGATAAGTGCAACATCAGTCAAATGCTAAATTGTATAATGTATAAAGGTCTTTTAGAATTTAATAAATTGCCCAAAGATATTAAACTCTGTGAAAAAAAAATTAAGAGATTACTTAGAACACATGTTTTACTAATCCATTAATGTTTTAATGTTTGTTATTGTACTTTTTCCATTTATTCATATATGTATATATATTTTTATAGCAAGGTAGATACATTCCTTATGTTGTTACGTTTTTAAAAATGTAAATTTATCCACTTGTCTGTTTATTAATTTTAATTACAATTTAATTTGTATTTCGTATATACCTTTAGCTAAATAAATATTATTATTATTATTACTTAGCCCTAACATCCATATGAACTTTTCGTCACCACATCTTTTGGAGAATCACCCTTTTCTTTACTTTAATTTAGAATCACCCTGTATAGTAAAGGCAAACTTAGGTTACTTAAAAATAATATAAATAATTGCAAGTTATACTAGAAACTCTAATCTCTTTATGAAACTTTTATTTTTCGAAGTAAACCACTACATGTTAAGCTGCTTTAAATAATATAATTTTTCTCTCTTAGAACCTAATACCCCCCAGGGATTACGTACACGTAGTGCATATTATTATCACGTATCATAAAAAATAAATAAAATACGCGCGGTAATCCAATTTTATATTTCTATTAAATATAGGTATTAAAGCGTTAAAGCCGACAGTTGGAACTGAAATCGGATTTGGAGTTTTCGGTCCCCGCTGCAAAAAACGACGACCAGTAACGAAGTTAAGTTTTAATTCTAGCCAATCAAACAGGAAAAAACTAATTCTTTTATAACCCGATTTTCGCCCACGGATAAAATACAAATTGATTACCTTGACGGCAAAAATAAAAACAATTTAATTTAAATTTCGGGCACATGTAAATAATTTTTATTTATGTAATTTGCTTCGCTCAAATGTATTATTATAATTTTGATTGCATGATTGTTAACATAATTTATACAAAACATATTATGGTATATTATGTATTAAGTTTGATAAATGCCATTTTAGTCCAGAATTTAATTTAGGACGAGCGAGCTTGCGAGCGAGTGCTTAATTAAATAAGTGGCTAGAAAAGTATATAAACGAGTTGCATACTATACTTTTTCTACGACAAATACTTAATATTGTCTAAAAAATGATTTAAATTAAATATTTGTATAAAGCGACATCTAAGCGGAAATAAAGTAACCATCCCAATAAACATTTTTGACGTAATTTTCACCATTAACATTGCCCGTTATTATTTTAAATAAACCTAACAATTATTAATACTTTAATAGTATATTAAAGAATTAATGTTATAACACGTCATTTTGTCGCACTGTATCCTCAACTCGAGGGCTATGGCGAACGGCAGCTTTACAGTGGTGAGATGGGTCGATGGGCAAATGTTGTTTCTCAATACTTACGTGTTTTTACTAACATAAATCCAAGATTGGGCGCCAGTGTCTTATTATGGCCAGTTGTTAAAATCTAAGTAAGTCAGACACAATCTTACTAAAGACTAAGGGTGGTTATTAAAAGTCAAGTTTAAAAAAATATATAAATCAGTTATATTTGTTCACCGATGTTGAAATGATCACTTTGCATGTAATAATAAATATTTTGGTGCACCCTTATATGGCCATATATGGTTTACAAAAACCAAAGTCTGATAACTGACAAAATATTATCGATGCTACAAAAAAAATATACTTAAAATAACTATGTTGATCTCTCAACTTAAAAGTACACAAACAAAATATATTATAAGGAGTGTAGTGTACGTGAACATTAATATTTAAAATTGGTACGACCTGTTCGTAGTTGGGGCCCTGGTAGACTGTGTCTCCGAATGGGTTGGCTTCCGATGTTGAAGTCTCCT